AGAGCGGAGCCTGAGGCTTTCAGTCAGCTACAGCTCAGCTCAGCGTCATTCTTTGCTCCTGAAGCCTGAGGTAAGTGGGGCATGCAGGGGGTTGGGGGCCCCTCTGGCAGGGTTGGGGGGAGCCAGGAGCTAGCCCTGCCCTCACCCAAGCAGGCAGAGAAGCAGGGGAGCTGGCTCCATGCTGCTTCTGCTGTAGCTGCCTGCTGTTGGCGGCAGGGATCTGCAGACTTGGGTCCCTGGCCCTGTATCCCTGGCAACTGGGGGGCAGGGGCTGTGGGTGGTGACAAGAGGCATGAGTAGGGTGGGGGGGCTTCAAGGGGCTTAATTGTAATAACAGATTTTGGGGGTTTTTAATCAGAGAATTTGAGATTTTTTTTTTTGTCAGAGAAAACCAGGATCCCTGCACATCAGATATAGAGGGGTAGAAAAGAACAAGTAGAACTCACAGTAGGACACTTTCCAGTGCAAAGCAAATGAAAATGAAACTAAAACCCACCTATAAACCGAATCAACTTGCCTCTCCATAGAGGGAATTAAAAAAAAAAAAAAAAAAAAAAAAAAAAAAAAAAAAAAAAAGTGTCCATAGGCCAGAACTATAGATTTGAAGTGCATCTATTCAGCATCTATGTAGCATAATCATTGTATATGATGGGAATTTGAAGTCCCACTTTTAGACACCGTTGTTGCTACGTTCTTCAAAGTTATAAGAATGATGTAAAGCTTCTGAAAAAAATGTGTATGCTTACTTTTTAAAACCAGTGCTACTTTATATATTTCATACAAGACCCCTAAACTTAGACTGGATTTTTGAAAGGTATTTGGGTATCGCTTTATTCAGAATGGCTGAGGTGACATTACATCTACACTGCAATCACTATTGAACAGCAGTACAAGAAGACACATAATCCACCCAGTTTGGATTCCAAGAGTTGTAGCCTGCTGGGCTAGGGACAGACGTTACACATGAACCAGTTTAAGTGATCAGAAACTGGTTTAAAACTGCAACAGAACATATATTCAGTACACATAAACCACTTTCAAAATTGCTGAAAAGTTTGAGATAAACCTGGTTGAATGTTGTATCAGATTTAACTTACTTAAGTATCAGAAGAACTTCTTTATGGTAAGGGTTACCAGAATCTGGAACGGGCTTCCAAGGTAGGTGGTGCTCTCCCCTACCTTGAAGGTCTTTAAGAGGAGACTTGAAAAACACCTGGCTGGGGTCATCTGATACCAGCACTCTCTCC